TTTTTCCAGGAAAACTCTTAATTTGCGAATATTTGGAAGAACCTAAGAACATTTTTTAATAAATTAAGTAATTTTCAAAATTATTTTACCTGGCCTAGATAAGAGTAATATAACTTGATCAATTTTATGTTAATAAAAGCTGTATTTGAACTGGTCATAAGCTACTTTTACTCTATTTTGTCTTGTATAAATTGGATGCTGATACTAATAACTTCTGGGAAACCTTTGTGCAGCAGCTGACAGTGTTAAAGGAAGAAAATCCATGTAACAAATTTAGACCTCAGGACTGTCTTTTGAATTTTGTTTTCATTAACTTTAGAGATAGTAGGAGATTCTGGCACCACTGAGAGAAAGAAGCCCATGTTAGTGTTGTAGCAAATCACACTCAAGAAACAGCAGACAGTCTTGTCTTTCTCTTGCTCACTGTCTTTGTGAGCATTTTCTTTGTACTCCTTGTTTTTCCCCTTGAGCTTAGAAGACAGATTTTTTTTTGCTTTGTTAAAACAAGGTTTGGGAGCTGTTGTTTCATCTAAAATATCATTATTTGTGACATTTCAGCAACAAGCAGAATGTTTGTGACTATTTTGTAAATACAGAATCAAGAACTTAGGCGTGAAATTTTTGCTCCAAATTGTGCCTCAGTCATTTATTATTCACAACATTGTGCCTCAAGTGTACGTGCCACCCAATGGGGATATCATGCTCATGTGCCATAATTAGGTGTCTTTGCAAGTTGTGAGTCTTATTCAAAGCCCAGAAAAATAGATGAGGAAACTTTCTCTTTATTTCCAACCCATAAACTGTGTAGAGAAAGCTGAAGCCTTGTGTCAGAGCTGAAATGCTCCTGCTCTTGAAGTCAGTGGCAGAACTTTCCTGAATATCTGCGGATCCAGGATTTCCTTAAGATCTTAACTACCCCCTTTGGGATGGTTCAATTTTATTACCAATGCCTTGTCATAGTATCCAAATGCCATGTTACTCACCTTCCCATTATCAGGATACCAGTGTTTTTGCATCAGAGAATGCAACTTCATCAAAACCAAAATGTGTTAAAGACTTGGAAAATTTCCATGAAAATAGTTCTCCAGTTTTGAGAATGCTTCAGCCATGTAGATCTCAGATTATGAAAATCTTGTTTCTTTTATATTCAAGACTCAATTTGATCTTTTCATAAATACATTTACAGTTTTAATTCAAATGTTTAATCTTAATTTCCATTTTTAGTCTTATTTCAAATATTATCTATATTATTATCTATGCTGCTGTTGTCAACAGCAAGCATAATGATGCTTTCAAATAACTTTTTTATCTACTGTCCCTGGAAATATGAAGGTGTTGCTAATGTCAACATAGTTGGACAGAAATCCCATTTTCAGGCCAGTGCTAGTTTGTGCAAACAAGTTTTGAATGACATCCAAAGAGAAGACTCAAATATTACAGGACAGGAGACAGAACAAGACTATGTGCATCTTTTGAGTTACTGATTTTGTAATGCTTCAGTGTAATATGATGAGCATGTGATTATGTGCCAGTGCCCTGAAAGCATGCCCACCACAGCTTCTCCTCACCCTACCCATGGCGCAGTATCCATTCTCTCAGATGCAAGGGGCCATCAGCCCCTGCCCCACTGATGCCGCAGCAGGGTGGGTATGCAGCTCCCCACAGCCCTGCTCTGCCCAGCCACGGGGACCCTGAACCGCTGCAGCCCCCACAGCACTCTGACACAAAGCACAGCACAGGAAAGTAGACAAAAACTTAATGAGAGAATGAAAAGAAATAGCTGACTGCTCCTATTTGAAGAAGAGGAGGGAGCAAGAGAAAAATCATGAATGCTGCACTAACAATTGCCCAGGCTTCTAAGAGAAAGCTATATAAGCCATAGGACATTGCTGAATTCACATTACCAACATTACTCAGTCTACATAATTTTGACTTTGATAAGTCAATACCACAAAGTCGATGTTTATGGACAATAGTGTCCAAAGACATATCACCCATTAACTGCATTGTCAGCAAAGTACGATTTTCAGGCACTTATTAAGATGTTAAATTTTCAGAAATTTTATTAAAAAAAAAATCCCACCGTATTTTAATCTGCTTGTGGAACTTGAATACCCAACTAGTTGGAACGTCTACTACCCATTTTATTTTAAGGTTATTCTAAAGTCATACATTCTGCCTATGGGTTTTAAATACAATTTATTGCCCAATTTGTCATCTGAAATATGGAAGGAATAATTGCCCTAAGAGAAGAAAATAGTAATACAGTTTTATAATTGAGGGGGAGAGGGTAAAAGTTGCCTCATGATGATTAAAACCTTAATGACTAACATGGAAAAACTGGCATGAATTAAGGACATTATGCATGGAGTTTTGAGAACATACCAATTCAGAAAGTGTGGAACGTATTCCAGACTTTGTTTTCAGATACGGACAAAAAATTCTGTTTGATTTAAGATGCTCAGCATCAGCACAATGACATGAAGCTCAGAGTTCATTTGTTCACCAAGTCAGAATAAAAATGTGACAAAGAACAGAACAAGAACACCACAGAACAGTGCCTCTAAACCTTTGGCAGAAGAGCGTTTAGTTCACTTCACTTTAAATCCTGTGGTCTCACTGTTATTTGCTGCAAAATGTCAGAGAATCACCACACAGAAAACAGGACATCAAACACCAGAGAGCAAAATTTTCACATTGCCTCGGCAAGATGCACAGGCAGTAGAATTTGAAACATAAAACACACATGACAGTAAATAACACTTTGATAACTTGTATTGCGTATGAAATATTTGCAAGTGAGGAACATATTTTAAACAGACAGCTATATGTAAAATTGTCTACATCTTCCCACTTTAAACTTCACAAAACTTTCAGCTGTTGAAGCACTTTTCTCCAAGTAGGAAAAAAGTTACCCTGCAAAGATGAATGTTGCAAAAAGTTAATTTTTTAAGACTACTGTTACAGGAGAATCTACTCCTCCCTTTATTTAAAAAGTAAATAAATAAACAAAACCAAGCAAACATTGACCCAATTTGTGCATATCCTTAGCAGACTGGAGTAAATAATTGAAATTTGGCAAGAAGATACAATGTGGGGAATGAGAGATGACTTATAGATTCTTAGGGAAAATTAGTTTCAATTTAGTAGAGTGATGAGCATTTTAAAAGTAGAGTTTATGAGAATTTTTTATAGAAACTGTTTTGCAACAGTCTAACTATCTAAACAGAGCATTTTACATTTCACAAAGACATTAATCCTAGAATTTTGATTCAATCCAAAAGGTAATAGAATTCACTTTTTACAGGACAAAGGTTTTCAGTTTCATTATTTAATGTTCTGGTGATTTTACCAGATACTACAGTACTGTATAATGATTTGACTTCATTGATTGTGGCTTTTGATGCAGTCCAAATTTATATTGTGCAATGCAGAGAACAATTATACATGACCCTTAGAACTTGTATATGGAAAAGTAGTGTAAACTCTTTCTATGGACTTCCCTGTCAATGGAAAAATGTTCCCTGATGCATATTTGCAAGTATTTTCATCAGTCTTTCTTTTTTTATACCATTAATGAAGTACTTTAAAAAAACTGAACTCCTTACTAGCCCCTGAATTATTCCTCTGAAAGTATCTCCAGTTTGATTCACCACTTTTTAAGGTGGTTTGGCCTCCATGAGACAGCAGCCATAGTTAAACCAAAATCACAGTTTTCACTTTTGGAAGACACACCCTCTAGCACATTTTTACACCTGGTGTGAGATTTCATCCTTAATGAGAGCAATTAAAAAGCAGCCATTGATTTGGAGGGAACATAGGATTCACCACTTTTGTGCAACTATCAACTGAGTTTAGAAAATGCTCTGTTGTGACTACAGTACTTCTTGGTCCAATGTGTACCTCCCTGCCTTCATTTAACCCAGAAAAAATGCACTGACAACAGTAGTTTTACCATTGCAATACTCATTACATTACAGCACTCTTTATATTTTTTATAATATAACAATTATTTCAAGGGATTAATTGTTAAAAATAAAGACTACACAGTAAGTGGGGTTTTATCATAAACTCTCTTATGTATTGTTAAGTGTTTTCTTCATTTTTGCCCTGACATTTGGTTACCCTGGTTCTCCTGCCACAAGTTATTGTCTCTGTCTATTTTATTATCGCAGGAGTACCTAGGCTCTAGGATCACAAATGTTGATGCAGGAAATTAATTCCAGTAATTTTTGTGGAACTTGCATTGTGCAAGTACACATATGTGTGTACATATATATATATATATATTATATTTTTTTGCAGAGAACTGAGGTGTTTGTCTCTGAAGTTCTCGAGACAAACTTAGATGACTAAACTTATTCACTTCTTGGTCCTCAAAAATTAATACTCAAATCTTTCTGCAATAATCTTTACCAAATATTCTAATTTTTTGGGATTTTTTTTATTGCCTGAAATTTACTTTATTCAGGTTGTTTAGGTTTACCCTTTTTTTTTTTTTTTTGAAAGCTACAAAAATATGGTGAAGGTAATGTAGTAAGTTACCGGTATGTTTGTTACTGAGATGCATGTCACATGGAGAAAAGGAATGAAAGGGCGAAGTAACAGTGAATTCAAGAAAGCCCACAAGGAGAGGCAGAAAGAAAGTGATTGATACAAGCTGTTGCTTCTTGAATTCTGAAATGGTCCATCTGCATAGCCCGAAGCATTGGAATGAGGCAAAGGGATATTTGGAAAGTTCACATAACTTACTTAAAGCTAAAAATAGCTGGGGATGGTAGAAATTAACTGTTTCTTTACACAGACACATCAAGCAAATGACTTCTGTGTGGAAATAAATGTGTGACTTTGAAGGGAAAATAAGAAATTGATGCAAATCTCTCAATAAAGTAAGAGTTCAGATATGCATAGAGTTAGTAACTCACTGATTTTCTGAAATGCGGCAGTAGATGAATTTCAGAGGTATTTATTTTCAAATTGAGTTGTCAGTTCACTGCCAATTCATAAAACCAACTCTGCAGTGATATCAACTCATCACACAATAAACTGACAGACTGTACCATATTTTTATAGTGAATCATTTAAGCCATGAATCATTCATAGTTTCACACAGGTGCTGAAAATAGTGAAAAACCTGCTGTCATGCTAGACAAGCCTGGCACATGCTTTCCACAAGTGATGGGTTCTTCTTTGCAGAACAGATCATCTTTTAATCCTATTAGGAAGAAAGAAAGATCAAGCAAGGAAAACAAAAAAAGGGCTTTGTTCTCTATCTCTTCCTTTCCCCCTTTTTTTCTCTCAGTTTTAATGATTTTATCTTGCCCATTCAACATGGAAAATGGAGAAAAAGTATTTTGATTCTCTGTTGCATTTTTTTCCTACTTTTATTTCATTGACAGGCAGATATAACCCATATTGTTCCAAATGGAGCAAGTCCTGATACAGTGAATATATCACAGTCCTCATTCTGAATCACATCCAGAATGTCATTCTGTTGACTTATGTATTTGTAAATAATTAGCTACATTCACCAAAATAATTCAAGGAATATGGGCATTAGTACAAAAGGCAGAAGCAAATTATAGGCTTAGCCTTGTAGCTTCAGCAAAACATGCAGTAAACCTGTCACGAGGTAGTCTTCAGATTGTCTTATTCCCTGCTTTAGATAAGAGTAGAAAAACAAATGAAAATTAAAATACCCACCTGAACTGACCTGAAAAAGTTGAAGGATAGGCCTGGTTAGTCTGCATTAGGTGACTGGTGGTGTTCTGGGAATCATTGATTCCGTGTCATCGCATCTGTAAAATGAGTTTATGAGCAGGGGGACAGGATGCAGCCATTTCACACATGATTAGGTAGTCTCTCCTTGTAGAGGAGTGCTCACCCCATCCCTAGAGACCTGTTCTACTTACCAGCTCACCTGCCAATCTATGACTTGGCTCAGACAGACGTAGGTCAAAATAGGAAATGCTTTAGGCCCACCTTATGCTATTGAGAAGTAAGACTTTATGATAAGTCTTACAGGACTTCATCCTTAGGCACTTAGCTCTCAAGTGCTTTGGCATCTAGCAAAATACTCCTACAGGGCCTCTGCATTGCAGAAGAGTTATTTGCTAAAGCAGCCCCTCAGTAAAGTTGTGAGTGGAGAGGGCCAATAGTGAACATGAAAAGTCAGACCACTCTTCAAAAATCACCCAGCCTGGGATTCACAGCCCCAAATCTATGACAGAACCAGGTGCCTATGCCAAAATACTGAAGCAAGGTGTGGCATTCCTCTCTTGCCTTCTGTCCAGTTTGTCAACAGTGCACTCACTCACCGAACTCTTGTGGGACACACAGGTTCATTTCCAGTTATCTCATTCACAAGGTAGGTAGAGCCTTAAGCCTCAAGGTGTAAGGATTAAGTAGGGCATTCTTCCAGCACCTCATGTCAAAGTTGTTCCAGTTTACTTTGCATAGTTAATTATTTATTCAGCCAGCAGAAAGGAACTGGAAAGAAAGAGAGGGAGTGACAACGTGGATTCTCTTTGCCTGGAAGCTGAATAATATTGACCCATATTACCAGTATTGACCAAAATGAAGAGGAGACCTGAGGCCCAAACACTGTGTTTATTGCTATTGATATTTTTTCATCTAAAATTAATATGAAAAGTGGTGGAACCAAACCTTTAGTGTTTAAGAGAATGTTCTTCTGTGACTGATGATGATAGGGAAACTATAATCTACCACCAAATGTTTTGTGTTGACTCTCTCCATAAGGTATCTTTTGAGAATGTGTTCTACCTCAGACTATAAAAGATAAGGCAGATAAAAAGTCCACTAAACTGTCAGTCCAAACAGACTAGGTATATGGAGGAGCTATGGAGCCACACAGCACTAGCAAGAATAAGGAACTTCCAAGAAGTCCCAGAACTAGCTTGCTAAAAAAAAGCCCAATAGTTGACTGAGGTGTTTTGAAGCTAGACAGCAGCTGAGTTTCTGAATTTTGAATGTTGGACTTGAAAGAATAAAGGCTTTAACAATCTAAAATGTTAATTACCACATCTGTGTATCTGAATGAAAATGGCCTCTTTATCCCCTAGGCTCTTTCCAGATCTGATTTAGAATAATCATGGACTTGGAAAAGTGCCTTTTTTTTTTTTTCCTACTGAAATAAATATGTCCACTCTGCTCAAATCCAGTTTCTCCCAATAGAAATTTTGCATCGAGGGCTCTCCTCTGGTACAGAGACTGCTTTGAGTTTCCAAAAGAGCATACTGATTGTTTATACATTGGAGACTCTTTTGGTCTTTGGTTATACTGCTGTGTGTTCTAATTGCCCATTTGGAAGTCGCCTACTGGGACTTGGCGGAGCAGTTTACCTAAGGGTTTTTCTACACATAGATTGACTTCATATCTTTAGTTAATTTGGATTAGTTTTCTTTGAATTTAAAGCCAACTAAAGCTAAAATCCTTTAAACTTCTGTGCAGACACACTTTAATTCCAAATATGTATTACTAGATTCAGATTAACTTTCCTTTAGAGTACTTGTGTACAAAGCCATAAGAAAACTTATTGTGAGGTAACTAGATTCATCCCTCTTTATACTGACTGGAGAAGGAAGTCATAAGTGGACTATCATTTTGAAGGGGAAATGTTTTACTTTTTCATAGGTAATTTTTCCCGTTTTTACTTAGAATCATCTACTACAAGAAAGTCATCCAGCAAAGGTAATTCTTGTCTGGTTCTAATAATAAATAAATAAGTACATAAATTGTAGAATATGATTTTGTATGAACCGAGGTTTCCTCATTCATCAAGTAACCGATAAGCATATGTTATTCAGTTGCAATGAGTAGCACTTCTTCAACAAAAGGAGAAGGTCAAACAAAATCTGATATAGTCTGATATCTACAATTTATTTAAATAGTAACTTAAAACATATATAAAAAATATATATATAAATAATGACTCATTAGGATGTTGTGTGAGATTGTTATTGACAATTATTTTTCCAAATCACCATTTTTTCACAGATTTGTATATTAGCCAACTTCAAAAAAGAATATTCTTTCAATATGCCCATAGGGATCCACCATTTTGATCGACAAGTAAAATATCAGGTGCATCACTGCCAAACGAATGTCCTCTGATCTGATCATGACTGCACTGATCTGCACAGAGCATTTTCACCCAATAAGAGATTGCCCCTACTGTAAATAGACAAAACAGAGGAAGAATCAGGACTTTTCATTACAGTGAAAAAGAAATTAGGTGGTTTGTTCAGTGTCACAAATACAGCTAATGGCAGAGAAAAGAACTAAATCCAAATCTAAATCTCCTAAGCCCACGGCGGGGATCCTGGCCAACAGTCTGATTTTGGAAATGGTTTGTATTTGAAAATGGCTTATATCCTAGTCATTATCATTGTAAAGAACAGTTAAATAGGTTTCTGTGTGTAATTAGTGTTACACTTGCCAAAAACATCTTCTATTATCATTGATAACATTTTGAAGATCCTCTTTTAAATTCCAGCCATATGTCTTAACTTAGTAATGAATTCCACAGTGAAGAAATATTGATTTGGGATTGCTTTAATTTACATTATTGCCCTCTTTAACTTGTGTAATATGAGCTACCTCATTCAGATATGTTTAGGTATTTGCTTGGCTTTTTAATACATCCTTATGCTACATAATCTGAATTCTGATACAATACTAAACGTTGTTCTTGAAAGTCTCTGGGATTGTGTCGAGGACCAGGAATCGGAATGGGAACGATTCCGGAAATGGAAAAATATGTACAGCGATTGAACGGACTTTATGATTCGGACTTTATAGTTGTTGTGCATGTACACATTGTGTGTTCCCCCAGAATTTGTATCTTCCGGGCACGTCCCGGCCTGCTCACTTCCCTGCTCCTCTGTCTTCTCTGCCGATTGGCTGGAGAAGCTGCGGCAGGAGACAGCCCCCATTCGCCCTTTCCTCCCCTGGTCCCTCCTGTGCTCCTCCCCCCTTTTACCCATGGCCCAATCCTGGTTTGTCCCCCTGCCTGTCTGTCTCCTGCTCTGCCCTATGTTCTGACCCTTTCCCTCCGGATAAAAACCCCGCGTGCGCGCTGGAATAAACATTCTACCTGCACCCCACCTTTGTGTCTTGGATCCATGCTGTGTCGCGGCCCCATTCCCCTCCCCCCTTTCGGACCACGGCAGGATTGCTCCTTAGTAGCAATTAGAAGATTTCTTCAACAGTAAAAGGTGAGCAATTTTCCCCAAAGATAGGTGCATCTGTGGATTGATGGAGAGATAGACAACAGGTTAGCAAAGGCATATAGAGTTTTAGGAAGACTCCATAAAAGAATTTGGCAAAATAAACACCTGAAGAAAAGGACAGAGGTCAGTGTTTACAGAGCCATTGTACTGTCTACTCTTTTATGTGGGTCTGAATCATGGGTCATTTACCACCACCACCTGCGACTCTTAGAACGCTTCCATCAACACTGTCTCTGTACAACCCTGAACATCCACTGGTCAGATTATGTGACTAATATGTCTGTTCTTGAACAGGCAGCAGTTACGAGTATTGAGGCCACATTGCTGAGAACACAGCTGCGTTGGGCAGGACATGTCTCAAGGATGAAGGACCACCGCCTTCCTAAGATCATGCTCTATGGTGAACTTGCCACTGGCTGCCTCAAGAGAGGAGCCCTGAAGAGGAGATACGAGGACTCCTTGAAACAATGTCTCAGCCTTGGCCATATCAATCATCATCATTGGTCTACTCTGGCCTCCAATCGGGAGGTCTGGAGGCACACTATCTATAATGCTGCTGTTTCTTTTGAGAACACACGCAGGATCACTCTCGAGGAGAAAAGACAATGTAGAAAGAACCATGTCTTGTCGACACCACCTAAGGAATCTTTCTGCTGTGCCTTTTGCAACCGGACTTGTCTATCTCGTATCGGCCTCCTTAGCCACCAGCGCTCTTGTAGCAAATGTGGGTAGAGTCCTTCCCAAATCTTCGTTTGCGAAGCCTAGCCACGAAAATGCAGTTTAAATGATCTCGTTATCTAGCAGATTTGGCTTGATGTCCATGTGAATTGACCAGCAGGAATTAGGAAGGACAGAGTGGCAAGACAAGGAGAGAGATTTGCCCTTTGCAGGAGAGAGCAGATGGACTGCCTGGAGCTCTACTTAGGAGTGGACAGTGAGCCTGCTGATAGCTTGTGGGTTGGAATTAGAAGGAAGATAATATGGGAAGACATTGTTGTGGGTTTCCCTTGAAAATACATGATCAGGAAGAACTATACGAACTCTTCTTTAGACAACTGAAAGCTTCATGTTCACAGGCTTTCATCTTCATGGGTGACTGTAACCACCTCATTAACCGCCATTAGGTTTCTGTAATGCATTGATAATAGCATCTTAACAGAGATGACGAAGTAAATGACAGGAGGTACTCTGCTTGGAGGCCACTGTGGCTGTACTGACAGTGAAATGGTGGAAATCAGGATCCTTGGAGAAGGTAACAAGGCAAACAGCAGAATAACAACAGCAGAATAAGATGTAGTCTGTTCAGGGACCTGCTTGGAAGATTCCCATGGGAGACAGTCCTGGAGGAAGGAGGGGTACAGGTGAGATGATTGTCAAGGATTGCCTCCTTCAATGGTCCATCCTGATGACCAGAAATCAAAGGTAGCAAGAAGCCTGAATGAATGAGCAAGGATCTCCTGGCTAAACTGACACATGAAAAGCAAGCACACAAAAGGTGTTCTGCAGGATTAGGTCATCTAATAGGAATATATAGGCACTATCCAAGTGTTCAGGGATGGGTTTTGGAAAGCTTCATTCTGTACTGGTAAGATCTACCATCAGGAATTCCAGATGCCTGAGACCAGTGGAAAAGTTTGGAGCAAGGAAGACACCCTTGGTGGAGGAGGATTAGCTTAAAGAGTGCTTAAACAAATTGGACACACACGAGACCATGGAACCTGAGTTGATACATACACAGTTAGTGAATATCAATGCAAGGCCACTCATGAGCATCTTTGAAAGATCCTAGCAGTCAGGTGAGGTTCCATAAGACTGCAAGAAAGAAATTTCACTCCTATCTTTGAAAAGGGAAAGGAGGAACAAAGAAATTACAGGCCAGTCAGCCTCACCTGGGTCTATGGAAGGTGACAGGAAAATGATTCAGAAAAACATTTCCACATATATTAGGGACAAGAGTGGTTGGATGTGATTAGAATGGTTTTACAGAGGTGAATCATGCCTGACCACCCTGACAACCTGCTACGATGATTATCTGCTTCCTCAGATAACTGAGGCAGAGGGGATGGGGGAGTCGAGTAGCAGTCACCTTTGCATCTCCACCTGTTTAATGTAAGTACCAAAGAGCTGCATTTACATCAGTGTATGTAGAGTCAGCATTATTTTGTGTAACCCCAACCAAGGACAATGGGAAAACGCTTTGATGGCTGCCACTCGTTGTGGGTGGAAGGCTTGGACAAAATTTATTAAAGAAACCCTACCGTTGAGTCACGAGGTGCAGAAAGTATCCAATCTTAGCCTCGGATTATGTCAACAGTCTAAATTTAAGGAATTATAGAAGTGTGATTGAACCACTTTTGTTCTGCAGGTTTTAATGATGGCAAATCTGACGTATTTATATAAAATGTATTATTTATTATGACAAATGAACAGACAAGTGAAGAGATGAAACATCTTAATCAGAATTATTTACTGTACAATATAAATGCTAAAACTACTAGTAGTACAGTATAAGATAGGATAGTGTACTATATTGAAGGAATTATTGAAGCAATTGTATTAAAACTGGCAAAAGAGGAAATCATTGTTAAATAGAGATTTGGTGTAACTCACTCATATCAACACTCATGGGGAGATCCCTTTTGCTCAGCCTCAAGGAGTATCCTTGTGGGGTGTCCCCAGCCTAAGTGAGGAATCTCATATATACATCCCAAGAAGACTTATGATAGAAGAACTTGACTGTATGAAAGGGGATTGGACTTTTATAGTATAAATCGATTGACTGCTAGTCACAAATTTACAGGCCAACTACCAGCTTATCTGTCACATCCAACTTCAAAAAGCAGGATGTGTATTTGGAGTTTGGTGAACCAGGCTGGTGCTAGCATTGCTAATTCAACACTAAAAACATTGCCATGGCACCACTAGTAACTCATCACAGATAGCTTGCATGGTAGCTTGCAGTTTGCATTCTCTGATTGAATTCTATGCCTTACCAGGGTAGGCCCTCCTGCCACACCACTGAAATGCAATTACCTCAAATCCAAGAGATGCCTTATCCCTTGGATTTATCCTATAGATAGCCAGTTTATTTGTATTACACCAGACAAGAAAGAGAGTAGAAGAAAACCGTGAAAGTGTAAACAAAGAAACCAGATACTAATGCTGGGTTAAAGAAACACTGCATATATGATACTCTATGAACCAGGGGTGTCTTTCAGAAACATAAGAAGCTTGGGTGAGTCAAAACAGCAAGCATATACTTTTGTCTTCCTGAGGCTTAAATGGGGAACCAGTCAGCAATGAATGAATCCACTCAGACAGGAGAAAGTATGTTTTGTTGAAAAGGCCACCTTGAAAAATTCTTGACTTCTTGGAAATGTCTGACTTAATTTCAAATGAAACTGAGGATGTCGAGAGGAAGAAATGTGTGCTGACATTTATTATCTTGAATAGACTTGTGCAGTTCCTATCCTGGCTCCATTAGAGCGAAGGGTTTTTTGGAATTCACACAAAAGCTGTCTATCTGTTGGCTTTAAGTATCAGTAGTCTTTGAACAATGAACTACAAATCCAGAAAACTGGAGGGAACATTGAATATAAAAAGAAATTTCTAGCTGTGGAAGGAAGAAATATCTTCCTTAGGCAGAGAGTAGTCTTAGTTGGAGAGAGCCCATAGAGTCTGTGCACTTGAACATTTTTTAAAAACTAAAGAAAAAAATACTTCTGTGTGAACAGACCAAAGCAAGCAGCAGAATTTGTACACTGTACACAGGGTGTCTCTATCACAACCAACTGAATTAATTCCTTCATTTATATTGGAAAAACAATCAGTTGATTTAGTTCATGAAAGCACATTATGCCTGAACTCATACCCCAGAAGATTCTTATTCTGAGAAGTGAAGAATAGCATTGTAACCCAGTCATCCTTTCCTTTCACACTGTTGGGAAGTCTTGTGAAGTCAATCAAAGACTGTTTCTTGCCTGTGGTTTGATTCTGTAATTTGATCTCCATCTCTTGCCTGAGAAGTTTTTAAAAGATCCTTGATTTAAATGATCTACATTGGTCACTTCTTTTTCATGTTTTGATGAAAGTGTTTTCCTACATTCTTTTTACATTCTATTTCCTACATTGCATTTTTACTTCCATTGCTTTACACTATGGTTCTGGCTTTTACATTTTCTTTCTCTTTTTCTTTTCCTTACCTTCTCTAAAGCATTTCAGGGATGGGTATTTGTTCCTTTAGAACCTTTAGCAGAGCTAATATATCACAGTAATATATCTATGTCTTGACAACTGTGTCAGCACAACTGTACTTGCAAATTTGATCTTTAAGATGTGGTCATATGAACTGTCCATCTGGATATGCACCAAGACTGACAACCCTGGATCTGATTGGAGGTTTGATTGGTTGTCTGGTGTCTTGCCAAGGGCAAATTTAATATTAAAAAGGGAAGAGAAAGTATAACACTACAAGACAAACTTCCCACAGGAAATGGTCTACTAACTGTCCCTTGAACTGTAATGGTCAAAATGGAAACTCGTGAAAGCTAGTTATCTTGTTGCCCATATGTTGAAACAAAACATCCACAATGGTGTTAATATTTAGGTATAATAGTTTCAGTTTTGAAGTTTTCATGCTGTGCTAGAATGAAATATATATAGGTATTTCCATCTCAACATCTAAGTCAAAGATTAATTTGATTTTTTTCTCATGAAAACACTATAGTTAGATGGTCTGTCAGAGTTTTTACTTCTATTCCTGATGGATTTTTTTTTAAAATGTGCAGTTTCACAAACATTTTACACTTGTCAGAGCTAAATAAAACAATGCAATGTGGGTCTGCAGTCATTTTATTATGACCAGTCTCTATCATTTTTCAGTATCATTACTAAGTATCTTTGGAAAATGTGTGAAAAGACAGAAATGTGGCAACAGTTTTCATATTTAATGTGTCTTGTTCTTTATTTTATCCTTGCATTGGAAAACCCACTTTTATATACTAAAAGGTAATCACACATGGTTTCATTAGTTATTTGAGGTAGAATGGGACACTAAACAGACTAAAATTTTAAATTAATTTTTTAACCCTTC